CTTCCATCACCATATATATGACCCTGTTTACCTTCATCTACCGCCGTCTTCCTCCCTTACCCTCTGGTAACCAGTAAAATATTGTCTGTGTCTATGAGTTTTTGTTTCTTTGTTTATCTTGTTCCTTTGTTGCTTTCAGTTTTATATCCCACACATCAGTGAAATCATATGGTTCTCGACTTTTTTTGTGTGACTTATCGTATTTCACTTAGTGTAATAATCTCAGGATCCATTCATGTTGTCGCAAATGGCACCATTTCAACTTTTCTTATCCAACTTTTTTTCAATGTGCAGGGACAGTCATTGCTGCATTTTTTTGGAATAAAAGATTGGAAATAGCTGAATATCTGTTACTATACTGATTATAAACTACGGTTTATCCATACACTCAAATACTATGCAAATTTTATTAGAAAAAAAATAACTTTTTGTACCCCAAAATGGAATTATCTCTAATAATAACATAGAGCAGTAAGAGTAGAGGAGGTATAGTACAATGTGTGTACTATGCCATTACACAGTTGTATTGCACAGAAGGCATACACACGAATATACATACAGTATTTGTTTGAAACAGTGGTTACCTCTGGGAAGGGAAACTCAGGCTGGGAAGACAAGAGTAAGGAGACATTCTATTGCATATCCTTTTAAATTTTGTCCTAACTGTATGTATTATGTGTTTGAAAATTGATTTTTAAAATCTGTAGAAAGGTTTGTTCAGAAAGGAGCAGGTTCAATGTCAAAAACATTAGAAAGCCTGACAAATAGAAAAGGTGGCTTTAATTATGTCTCTCCTGCTGTAATTGAAATATATTTCCTATTGTTTCTCTAAAAAAAGGAAAAAAAAGGACTTTAAAAAATTGGAGGGAGGCCAACAATTAAGGGCACAGTTTTGCCTAGTACTGAGATTAGCACTGTGCTGCTCAGTGATGCTGACAGGAGGCTGATGACTGAAATATCATTCTGTCTCAACAGTCATACAGGAACACATCCTAGTGGGGTGCCTGCCATGTAAGTGGCATCTTTCTTCAAGAAATCCAAAGTACATTGCAAA